TGGAATCTTTTCCTCCCTAAATGACCTTTTCTTCACAGGTGGTTTAGGATCTTCCTTTACTTCGAAGTACCTGTCATGGCGCCAAACATCACTTTGTTTGCCTGAAACTTTGCTCTTATCATTCATCTGCTTATCAGTTGTTGTCGTTCTGTTCCAGTGCTCTTTCGGATCTTTCCACCATCCTCGCTCTTCATGGGAAACATAAGATGGTAACTATGTTGTAAATAATTTGTAATAAGCAGGTAGGAAAATCAAAAAAAAAAAAAAAAAAAAAAAAAAAGGTAGGAAAGAAAAGTTTTTCACAGATATCTTTAGCTAACTCTGCTGCTATCAGGCATTTCCTGCTTTTCAAAATTAAGGAAGATCATGTGATTTAGCAGAATAAGTATATAAGGTACTTGCACCAAGGGTGTGGCCTAGTGACCAAGTGAGTGCAAACTTAGGAGACAAGGGTTCAAATACTAGCAGAGATAAAAAAAAACACTAGGTGATTTCATCTCATTTGCCTAAGTCTTGGTGGGCAAAGTAACCCGGTATCTACGTTGGTGGGAGTTAGCAGGTACCCGGTGCAATAATCGGGGTGCGCTAAATCTGGCATGAAAACCACCGTTATAAAAGAAAATAATAACGTACTAATAACAAATTTAAATTCCTATCACAGCACCAAGCAATAGATGAAGAGGTCTCTCATAACAGAATATAAAGATCTGATCACAGGTCAAGTGAGACATCAAGAGTTAGAGGTCATACAACGGTCCGATCTTTGCTCCTCGGCAAAGAAAAAGAAAAAAAACAAAGGAAAGTTCAATACTCATCAAAATGCAAGAATAATATGTGGAAACTCACCAGTTGCTGCCTTATGGCTGGAGCTTCGATCAACTTGCCCAGCACTACCGCGCTCATCGTGCTGTTATAAGACATGCACAGGCAAGTCTAACATTGTTATATACACGGATCTACTTGGAATCAACAGGCTGAACAACAATCCCACAACATCAGCCCCAATATAAGGAACAAAAACAGATTAACAAAATCAATGCACTTGTTTGAGGCAGATCTATCTGCATCTACTCAAGTTCAAAAGCTGTAATTTGTTTTTTTTTATTTTTTGATACATAGAATCTAAATTTTATTTTTAAGCAACATTGTTCTTTCTTTAAGAATTCAAATGTAGTTTCTTAATGAGGCTGAGAAATAAGAAAGTACTGGGAGGAAAGGAACGAAGCAACATTATTCTTACGATGCTCAAATTGAACACACCAAATTATCTAGATACAGACAAATCATATCAAATAAAACTGCTTAAAAATATAAATGAGAAAAATTAAAGTTAAAAGAAGGATTCTCTGGTTTCATTAGTTCTCTAGCTAAGCTGAATTCCACTCCCCAACCCCTCTCCGCCAACACCAGTGGCTGTATCCAAATTTTGCACACGAATGAAAAAAGAATCTATGTCAAGTTCATTTTTTTTTTGAAATAGGAACTATGATCAAGTTTTCAGCGTGCTTCAATTGAGTTCTAGGAGCAAACAACCTGGTCATCAAAGTTCTACCATGCCAACAGTGCATAAGCATAATCTAATATAAACTGACACGAGAAAGAAAATGATGTCAACACAACACAGAAACCTGAAAATATGATGTAGAACGAGGCGCTTCTGTTGGGTTTGAAGAGTGTTTGGATGATCGATGGCGAGATCCTTCATTGTGATCAGACGGCTCTTTGTTCCCATCATCTTTAACTGTTACATTCTCAGATGGTTTTCTCGCAGGTCTTTCTGACTTGGAATCTTGTGCAGATGGAGTATCAAGAGGCACAGCATCTTGCAGCCGACGGTGGTGTTTTAGATCTCGTTCTGAATTGTTTCCACCATCTAAATTGTGTGTGGTAGGTGGCCTCTCGGCTTCTGGTCTATTGTGCTTCCTAGATCTCTTTGGACTAGCAAGAACAAATATGATACAGAATATTAGCGCATGATTTGTATGCCCAAAACTCACAGCATTTACAGATTGAGTAAAATTCCAAACAAAGCACAAAATGTTTAATAAAACAGAACCCAAATTTTTCAAAATAAAATTAACTCTTTCCAGTTGGGAAGTAGTTCAAGATATATCTATCTTTAAATCTCAAAACCAACAACGGTTCCTTTTTATCACTCCATTATTTTTCATACAGCAACCCGTCCATTTTTTGTCGGTAAGCTTTAAATTTCAACGGCCATAAGGTTCTTTTTTCTCAGTCCAATGATTTTTTATACATCAATCCATCTACTATTTTTCTTCAATAAACTTTATACTCAGACCAAAGAAGGTTATTTTTTTCTGACTCCACTATTTTTCCTATTAGCAATCCTTTCATTCCAGTCTTTCAGACGGAACCAATAGGTAAGGCAGTGCTCTTTAACCTTAGTCCTAAACATAAACCCCAATTTCACATAACTATTTTTCAAGTGAACACTGATACAAAAAGAAGAAAAGGAGAAAACTTTATAACCACAAGAAATTCTAAACCGCATCAGAAATCCTAGATAACAAACTCCTATCAACTGTTTTTCTTCCTTATCTCTTTTAAAATTAAAACTCACTTGCGTACTTTTGTTATTCTTCTCAAAATGCAAGTGGAAATAAGTTCCCAAATGTGTTACCTGGGTTCTTGATCGAATCGGGAATGGTGACGTTTTGAGTCAGAATCGCGGCCCTCTCGACGACGAGACGACATTAGGGTTTGTTCTTGTTCTTGAACGAAGACGACAATACGGCTAAAAGTGCTACTACCATGGGAGCTTGTATAAATCAGATAGATTTTTGTGTGTGTTAAAACTAGATATAATCGGGTCGAGGATACAGTGATAGGCCCAATATTAGTGGGCTTTAACGTCTAATCCAGAGTTAGTCGGGTTTGCTATTAGGATATGAAATAAAGGTAAAAATTGCACGGACGCCCTATTTGGGCCCCCCATATAATTTATACCCATTATTTTTTAAGGATTTAACTTGTATCCACTTTTTAAACAACTTCAGCCCCTTTCTTCGTTAAAATATCATGGTATAGCCAGTTTTCACACTGGTCAATGAAAAATAGCCAGCGTTTATCAAGTCAATGAAAAATAGCCACTATTTTGCTGCAACAGGGACCGGTCCAGTATAATATACGGGAGTTCTGGTGCATTTGTGTACGAACTCCAGCATATTATGCTGGACCGGTATACTTTGCTAACTCCTGTATTTGCGGGAGACTGGAGCACCAGTGCTCCAAACTCCAGTATATTATACTGGACAATTATACTTGCTGGAACTCCCGTAAAATTTGCGGGAGTTCCAGCATAGTTATCCTGGAACTCCCGTAAAATTTACGGGAGTTCAAGCATACTTATGTTGGAACTCCCGTAAAATTTGCGGGCGTATTTTTCCGGATTTTGAACAGTGTTTTCGCTCAGATTTAAAGTGGCTAAATTTCGATGACTTTTGAAACTTGGCTATTTTTCAACGACCAGTGGTAAATCTGGCTATTTTTTAATTTCTCCCCCTTTCTTCTCCTACTTCTCCTCCTCAAAGTTTTATCTTTTCTTTTTCCAGGAGTAAGGTTCATCCCTATCTGCTTTTTCTTATTTCTCCGGTGAGTCTTATAAATTTTCAATCATTTTTTCCTTTTCGCCGACACCCTCAGCTGTAAAGGTTCTATCTTGGTTTTGCAACTTAGAATCTTATGCACAATTTTGATGTGAAAATGGGACAAGAGAAATTAATTATTAATTTTATATTATTCTTTGGTGAACTGGGTCTGGCGGAAATGGGAGATTTCAGTTGTCGATTGGATTGGTAATGTGTTGATGTTTCTTGGTTCCTGTTAATGTTGCTTTAAGTTACTTCGTGTGGGTACAACTACAACATGCCCCCTAGAGCTCTAGAGCTGAAGTTCGCCAGTTACAAACAAAAACTTCAGCTCTCGCTAGTTACAAAACAAAAACTTCAGCTCTAGAGCTGAAGTACGCCAGTTACAAAACAAAAATTTCGCCAGTTACAAAATAAAAACTTCAGTTCTAGAGCTGAAGTTTGCCAGTTACAAAAACAAAAACTTCAGCTCTAGAGCTGAAGTTCGCTACTTAAAAAACAAAAACTTCATCTCTAGAGCTGAAGTTCGCCAGTTACAAAAACAAAAACTTCAGCAATTACAAACAAAAACTTCAGCAAATAGAGAACAAAACTTCAGCAACTATGTTTAAGTTGAGCAATTACAAACAAAAACTTCAGCACACTTGCTACTTCAGTCCCGTCTACTAGAATGCTGAAGTTTTGCGTGATTGCCTTTGCTACTTCAGCCCCGTATGCTGAAGTTACGCGAAGAAATGGGTACGCTTGCAATTTTTTTTGCAAAGCGGGCACAAGTTAAAACGTGACTCAAAAAGCGGGTATAGATGCAAATCCCCCGAAATAAAGAGTTTAACTTCTACTATGAACTAACGGCTTAACTATATTTTTATTTTTTTTACACTCTCATGTCTTTTTTTTTTTTAACTCTCGTGTCAGCATTTATAAGTCCTGAAATAGAAAATGGTAGATGAACTTAAGTACTTGTATTGTATGCCAACATGTTGTTTGAGAAGCAAACTCAAACTTAATTATGTCAAAACTATACCCAAATTAAAATTCAAACACCACTTCTAGCTCATAAACTAAGAATAGGAGGGGGAAAAAAGAAGAAGAATTAACCCAAATAGCCTCCCACCTAATCTCTTAAACTAAAAATAATTGGCGGATGTATATTGTGCATATAATTCATGTATAATATAAGTATAACTGTATAAACTATGTATATTGGCTAGAAAAAATATACATTGAATCTGACCAGCTATTTGTGTAACAACCGAGTAGTTTACGAATCAAATCAGAGAAAAAACATAGTAATACAAGAGTTTATCTTGTTGCATCATACTTTATCAGACGAACCTAAAAACTTCTAAGGGATAAATAAAATTTGGCGTTTTGATTGGAAAACTGACATTGTGGCAATGAAGTTTTTCCAAGTCTCTCCAAATCTTATAAAGAATACAAATGCCAAACACACCATGTTTTGGTAGGTAATCATCATATAGATCAAAATGCTCGTCATTTCGATATATTAGCAGAAACAATTAATTCTTCTGAAAAGAAAAAACACAAACTACACTTAATCTAGTATTCGTCATTTTTCATATATACACCTCAGACTTGGCAAAAGCGATTGTGCTATAAACAAATTGAGGCTGAGTTCCTTAAGTAAATTTAACTCTTTGGTTTAAATCTGGTGCACCATTTAACAAGAAGATCTTCAATATTTGCATCCATTCGAGTACCTACACCACCCCAGACCAACATGTGGCCAACATCTCCCAGTGATTCTCCAGTAACTTGGTGAACTGACTTGAAACCAATCCTTGTGTAGAACCTCACAAGCTGTTACATTGAAAGAGAAAAGCCAAAGATGAGAACCCACTTTTCTGCTGCTAGAAGCAACACTACTAGAAATTAAACATCAATGGATGTGATAGTTAATATGATAAGATAAAAATATCTAATGAGACATTAGAGTAGCGCAACGCGTAATGTGTGAAGTAGGTGCGTGGTTCGAACACCAATGCAGACAAAAGCCTGGAATTTAAGTGAAGAAGGGTAGACGGACAGGTTCATTATCCAATGTCACCAGTTGACACTTGGAATTTCTTGGTTATAAATAATCTAACGAGAAGAGAACCAGAATCACCAACTGATTGTATTATTGTACACTAATTTTCTACAGGAACCATCATTAAAAAGTTACTGCTATTAGTTAATGGTTCTCAAAGATTCAGTTTTTTCCTGATTTTACATCTGCAAAAAGACCATCAATCAATTAATAACAACCTCAATCTCAAACTAATTGGGGTCAGTTAGTTTGTCTGGAAACACACCATGTAGAAAAAATAATTAAATAGAACTGTGAGGTCCCAATCCAAAATCCAAATACAGGGCAGGCAATCCGCAATTGCATCGATAGGGTAAGTAACTTATGAAGGAGAAAATTACACCAAAGAACACATTTTTATGCAATAAAATAATGAATTCAAAAATTGTGACTGAAATGGAAGAGGGGGTGGTGAATGACCTTGGAGTGATAAAGCTCAGTGTCATAAATGGCGAGCAACTCAGCTTTTCCACAACCAGAATCATAACCATGCCTGATTGCAACTGCTCCAATGAACAATCCAATCCCAAATATTGATTTTTCCATCCCCAAAGTCTCTCTCTTTAGTCTTATGGAGTCCAAGTGTAGAATTTTACCTTGAAACCACACCCTTATCAAACCCTCAGCTTTTCCAAGCTCCCTTTGGGTTTTTAAGCTCCTAGCTGTTATTCTAAAAAAGGGTCCCAGTTTTTGAAGCTGAAGATCAAGATTTTGGGCTCTTGATGCTTCCATAATTTCTGACATAGTGGGATATTCGTCTTCAGCACTAGCACTGTAGGTTCTTGTTGATGAGCTACTGGAGAGTGAAATCTGGGAGATGAGGGGTTTACTTTTAATAATGAAAGGATAACAACTAACTTGCTTCCTAGATGTTGGTGTTTCTGGATAAGGGAATTTAGTTGTGGAGTTTCTGAGAGCAGTTGGGCATTTTGTGCAAAGATATGAACTCATTGTTCTAAAATTTTGAGGATATGAAATTGCTATGAACTAAGGTTTACTCAAGGACGGCTCTAGGACAAGGCAAGTGAAGCTCTTGCCTTCGGCCCCAAATATTTAAGGTCCCAAAAATATAAAGTACTATTATATAATTATATAATATATATAATTTATATTTATATAATTGTTGACAAAATATTTTATTTGAAATTTGGTAGAGGTGGGATTGAATAATTTAATAGGATAAAAAATTTCTCTCACTAAATTAAATAATGTATTTACCTTCTCATCAAATCTATTTTTCTTCTTCTTTATGTATAGTCTTTTTCATATTTTTCACTATTTTAATTTCTAATTTCAATTCAGATTCTCTAAATTAGCTATTCCTTTTTATCACGTTTGATTGATCCACACATCAGAAAGCAAGTTATTTTGTATCTCATCTTTTTTAACTAAGAAATCCCCAAGATAAGTGTACATAAGGTTCAAAACATGACTGATAATAGGCTCAAGCATTTTCACGTAATGCTACATTTCTGTACAGGGGAGAGTTCAATACCATATTGTATGCGCCTAATCCACACATTATACATTGCTCTCTTACCACTAGATCAAAGCAATGTAAACTTTTTTTTTTTTAATAGTATATGGATTTTATGACAGAAATTTAAGGGTCCTCTAATATATTTTAGTTTCAAACCACTAGTTCCGTTGAGCCGTCCCAGTTAATGATCAACAATTATTTATAGATCACTGCCCTATGTACGTGTTGTTCAACCAGCTTCATTCACATTTTATAACTAAATAACTCATTCACTAATTTTTGTTTTATCTTAATTGAAGCACCATAAAATTTGATTGAGAATGGGCGGACAGGTAGCTCAAGTAGGAGACTAGTAAGCTTTGATATTGGTCCAAAAATATTTTCAGCAATGGATTTTATTTCAAGTTAGACTATATTAAAATTTGCAAAAAAAAAGGTACAGAAAACCTTGGACAAAAGAAAGTGATCATAGGCTATAATTGCATATTTTAGTCGCTTATTACACTCGAATTTACTGCACTTTAATTGAGTTTGCGCTTTAATCGCTAGTGTTTTGCACTAATTGTGTGTTTTATGCCTTGTAGGTGTGATTCCGAGCTATATAGATGTTATGGAATGAATTTAAGTGATTTGAAGATTTGAAGTCTGAGTAAAAGCTCAAGGAGTTAAGCCGGGATCGTGTTCGGGGGTCAAATTTGATAATTAAGTACGAACGAAGACTTGAGGAGGCATATTGCGCACTGTCTAGTAAAATAGACATAACTTTTTGCTCAGAACTCCATTTGGGCTCCACAACATATGGTTGGAAAGCTAACTCAAAGAACTACAACTTTCATGTTTTACGTTTTTCCAAATTCCAAACGGAACGGGTGAAAAATCGCGGTTTTTCCGCGACCGCGGCAGAACCGCGGTAGAAGATGGTCGCGGACAACTGAAGAATCAGAGGGCATGTTTGGCCGCGGTTCCACCGCGACTGCGGCAAAACCGCGGCAGGAAGCGAAAATTTCAGGGACTAAAGTGCAAAACATGGGATTTTAAGTCCTAAACCCTATATTAAACAAATGAGGCCGGCCAAGAACAAGAAGGGGGACATATTTTGGACACAAATTAGACCTAAGGAGGCGGAGAGACACTACTTTAGGGTTAGACAACACCCTTAGAGGCAAGAACACATTGGGAGCAAGGCGGAGAATTCTTCTACGAGTTTTTTCCTTCCTCTTCCTATTTTTCATTATTGGTTATGATTTTAGTATTGTAGTTTTACATACTATTATGAATAGCTAATTTGTTATCTAGAGTTTGATAGAACCTTTTGTAGGATAAATTCTTGTTATGTTTTTATATAATTGAGCCATAGCTTTTCTCTATTTGTTCAACTACGTTTATATTCTGGTTGATTGAAGAGCTCTCAATTAGCTGTGCCTATTTAGTATGCATAACTCGGGAGAGAGTGCATATTTAGGTAGTTGTTGAACAACACCATTCCCAGAGTAAATGAGGGATCAATAACCGAGGGTTTAAAGGTGGGATTAGGGATAACGAAGCCTTAGGTGCGATCTGAAGTGAGCTGTATTAAAAGCCAGCTAGCGTAGCTCGGGAGAGTGCGTCTAGTAAATTGTCGTAATTACTCGGGAGAGATTTACGGCAATAAGAGTGCTCATGATCGGTAGAGAATACTTAGGCGAAATTATAGAAGACATAGCGGAAGGATTCCGACAATAGGGAAAATCATAACTCTAGACCTCCTTAATCTTTTCTCTAACCCTCAGTATCGTTAGTTGTTAATTTACTATTTTAATTTATTAGTTAAGTAGTTAAACACAAGAATCTTAATATCTATAGGTTAGGAATTGTTCAAGCTTGTCTTTTTGGTGATAGTGAACAGCTGTAGCTAAACCTTAGTTCTCTGTGGGATTCGACTCCGGACTTGTAAACCGGATTATATTTGCAGCGACCGCTTAGTCTTTTTTATAAGGCATAGTTGGGCGTGATCAGAAAGAAAGAAAGATTGTCTACTCTTTAACACCAAAAATATTTTAGAACTTTGAATTAAATTACTTAAATCTTCATATTAGTAAATATATTTTTTGTAACAATATCAAAGGGGACATATTGAAAATACATGTCTAACATCTTATTTATTTAAGTTAACTCTTACTAATATAAATAATAATAATACTACTCTGTGAAGTTAAAGGCTTTATCATTTAAGAATGTTATACTATAAATACCAAATATGAAAAAATGGCAACACTAACTTTTTTATGCATATGTATTAATAAAAAAAAATATAAGGTCTCTTATTAAAATCTGGCTTTAGGCCACTAATTTTATTGAGCCGCCCTTGATACTCTCTCTCTTTTCTGGATATCATTTTAGAGTATATTATTTCTCCTATTTTCGGGTAGAGTAGAGCAGGGAAATCAGGGATAGAGCAGGGCTGCGAAGAGAATGCGAGGATGAGGATATAACAAGATCAAAAATATTTTTACATCGTAACAATTTTACTTTTTATTTCAATTTTGAACACTGTAGTTTGTGCAAAATAAAGAATTTATCGAGCATGTGGATGAAAGAATTTATAGAGCATGTGGAGTCATTATCTTCCAAATAATCATAATAGCTGAACTTTTTTACTAATCATAATATTTTATTCTTGTGCATAAAGCATCAATTCATATAATCCCAATTAATCATATAATATGATCGCTCATCTATATAAAGTGAATGAATTTCACCTTCCCTATAACACTGGTTCATCAAAAAAATTCTATTAGACGAGGGGAAGTACGAAGGTTTAGTCATTTGCCAAGGTAAAACAAAGAACAGGAGTTAAACATAACGTGGCCTAATACTGATCACCTATTGCAAAAGCAAAGCACGATAGGAGATCGGAATTAGTAGCGTAAACTTAAGGAATTTTCAGAAATAACTATCACCAATAATTTTGCTGGAAACTTCTGATTCCCCTGTCGCAAAAGAATTTCCGCCATTATTGGTCATCACGGGTTTGATAGAGTGCACCATACGACCATAACTGATAGCAGTATTATTTGAATAAAACACTAGCAACATAAGAGGACATCGTATTGTAGATAATACACGAATTAGACTAACAATACATTGCTGATTCATGTCAGCAAATCTGGTCTACTTGCTTTGAAGTTAACTATAACACTTGTTGCATCTGTTTACTATATACAAGGATTTACACAATTATATACAAAGAATACATAGATAAAGAAATATATTTGTCATTATTTTCTGAATAAATAGATTCACTAATTTATGCCTCTCAAAAATTCTGGTTTGTTTTGACAAAGAACGCATCAATTGGTACATATTTACTAGTAGTTGGAGATGATTTCTGTTTCTTTTTCAGCCGACCGCTGCTTCCAGTATGGCCTTTTTGGGCAGCCCTAACAAAAATTCAGAAAAAATGAGACGACACAGCCAATACTGAAAAGTGAAAGGGAAAACAAAAGGAAAAGAAATACTCGAAACCATCGCACTTAGCAGGATGCGGAAATATATTCTTGTATCAGTAACATCATGAAGTAGAAGGTACCTCTGTTGTGGCACAAAACTCCTGAGGTTGTGACCTGATTCTTCACCTTGCAGCCTTTCAGCAAGATGAAAATCAGAATGTTCTTGCCTTTCTTCAGTGAAACTTGGAGGCAGCTCAATACCACATATAGAGCATTTGTAGTCATCCACCCAAACAAAGAATTGCTTCTGATCTGATATAGACCCTGCTTCTTCATCTACACAGCTAAAACCATTTTGCCAATTATCCCGGGGGCATGCCTCCAATTGTCCTGTATAAGAGTCGATCTTCTCAAACTTCATTTTATGATCAGTATTTGTTGGTTCATGAACCTGAATACAAACACATGTAGAAAATTAAAAACCACATTATTTGAATCACAAATTTTTCTTTGGTGATACATGTATGCCTTAGTTCTTCGGGGGAACGTATACCTTAGCTCTTGGTTCACTACTTTGAGGTACAACAGTTCCATTCACTTCTTCATTAATGTTCCCTAATATAGTGCAACTGAAAGTAGAATCTGATGTCTGGTTCTCCATCGACGAGTCACGCAGATCACAAGATGTCTCAGCGGAGTAGGTAGGATAAGAATTCAAATCAACTGAGAAAGTATTATCACAAAAATCAGAGACCAAGGGCCTGTAATCACTCATCTTTCCTCCAGAAACATCTCCGGAAAGAATGAAATCAGAAAGGGTTTTTTGTGTAGGATCAGCTGGAATGCCATTTTTATCGTCACTGAAATGAGACATACGTAGTCCTGATGGAAAAGTTCAACTGCTTGGTCAAAATGCCTCATGCTGAAAATTTGCAATCAAATAACACAACATTCAAGAGTGACAACTGAACATGTCATTTCTAGCTCAGGGAAGAGAGAACAATTTAAATGGAGTTGGCTTCTATTTTGGGCTTTTTGTTGCCCCAAGCATACTCATAAATCGATGGTTTAACCAATAAGTGCAATTAAGAGTTACAGAAACGTGGCGGCAAGTGAGTGGGGCAGCGTCTAAA